CAGGATATTTATTAAGGAATATTCTTGTGATAAATTCCTGGAGAAGGAAGAAAGTGGGATTGAACAGAGCAAGATAATAAACTGTAGTACATACTGCTCAACAGCTTCAGCTGCCTAAAGCCAAATGGCTCATCAGAGTCACTTCCCTTAGGCTAAAAGAGAGGGGCCTTTATATTCTTGTTTAATCAGTCATCAGATACTGGTTGTTCCAGGCAGAGGTGGTTCTCTAGGTTACTTCAAAAGGGTTGACCATTAAATAGCATTTACTAATGTCATTTGCTTGATATCTTGCAAGCCGATCCTTATAAAGAGAAGCATAGCACACCATTTATCACTGAACAATTAGGTAACTTGATTTATTAGCATCATCCTACCTAATAAAAGAGTAATATGCAAAGAAACCATCGCTCTGCTCAAAGCCACACCCACCAACCACGCCCACCAGCCAATCAGAGTGAGTATGCAAATTAACACCAAACAAAATGGCTGTAGTCACAGAGAGCAGTTGAGAGGCTTGGGTTTCTCAGGTAATAGAGGAAGCCAAGCTTTATACAACCTGGCCAGCCTAGGCCTCCACTCAAGGCTACAAAGTTTTGATTATAGAAGATAAATACTAAGAAAAATGGTTGCAGCCATGGAACTGGAGAGTGCAGGCTAGGGTTGCTCCCAGCAAAGGAGGAAGCCAAGCTTTCCACCTGCTCTGGCAAGCCTAGGCCTCCACTCAATGATACAAAGTTTCAATTATAGAAGGTAAACAAATCCAAACAGAAATGGCTGCAGCCATGGAGCAAGCAGGAGGCTTGGCTCCGCTCCAGGCTACAAAGTTTCAATTGTAAAAGGTAAATAAATTCCAGATACCAGGGCTTCTGCTTGGGTTGCTAGGGGGCATGGCCAGCCTGCAGAACACCACAGGCCCCTTGCCCAGGCCACCTCACACCCCAAGGGAACCCCCAATCTGATCCAGGACACCCTTCAGGGCAAACCAGTCGACCCCACCCATGCACCAGGCCTGCAAGAGAAGTCAGTTGAGAGGGACCAGGTATGCAGGGGAGAGCAGTTAGAGGTGATCAACCCTGTAGGGGAGGGCAGTTAGGGGTGGCCAGACTGGCAGAGGAGGGAAGTTGGGGGCAAACAAGATGGCAGGGGAACAATTAGACACCAATCAGGCTGGCATGGGAGTGTTTAGGCCCTTTAGGGGGTGATCAGCTTGGCAGGCAGAAGTGGTTAGGGGCAATCAGGAAGGCAGGCTGGTGAGCAGTTGGGAGCCAGCAGTCCTGGATTGTGTGAGGGATGTGCGAGGGATGTGCAAGGGATGTGTGAGGGATTTCCTACACTGGGATCAGGTCTAAACAGGCAGTTTAACATCCCTCGAGGGGTCTCAGATTGGAGAGGGTGCAGGCTGGGCTGAGGGACACATCCCACCCCATGCATAAATTTTGTGCACCTGGCCTCCAGTCCTATATAACAAAAGCCTAATATGCTAGGTGTCCAGTAGTCTGGTAGGCTGTTTAACTAATGAAAGAGTAATATGCTAATGATGTGCTAAGGTGCTCACCCTCTCGCTATGATGTGTACTGACCACTAAGGGGCTGATGCTCTGACCAATAGGTTAGCTTGCTGCTGGGGTCCAGCTGATCAGGACTGAGCAAGATAGATCAGATACGTCCTGAAGCCCTCCCACAGTCCCTCTGTGGTTGGCCATCCTCCCACATTCCTCTCTGGCCCTAATCATGCACTAGTGGGATCCCTCAGCCTAGCCTGTAACCTCTCACAATCAGGGACCCCTTGGGGGATGTCGGAGAGCTGGTTTCAGCCTGATCCCACAGGCCAGGCCTAGAGATCCAACTGGTGCACAAATTCATGCATTGGGTCTCTAGTATTACTTATAAGTAATTTTATTCATTGAGTCTGTTAGCTAATTTCTAACCCTTTAAGCAAAATCCAAATTCACCACATTCTTCAAATTCCATGAGTACATGCATTGTTCGGCTCAGTTGAAAGAAAAACATAGAGATAAAAAAAAGTACACTTGCAGAGTAAATACAAAATGCTACTTATTAATTTGTATGGTGTACAATGGAAGCGTTCCACAAGTGCTATGAATATATGTTTTTAATTTTTTAACTGAAATCCCTTTTTTACCTTTCAAATCAAAAGCTAATAATCACACTGGATTTTTTACTTATTTATCTTTTGGTCATCTGTCTTTTTGGTTTTGACTGCCAAGAATCTTAAGGTCTTTTGAGGCCTCATCTTTCTAATGAGAACATTAGAGTTTAAAGAGGCTTGATAATTACCCATTTCATGAAGAAAATTTTCAGAATTAGAATCCAGGTTTTCCAACTCATATCCCAGTGTTTTTCACCCTCATTGCTCTATTCATTGATATTAATAGCTCTAATAAATCAATAGCTCCAACAAATTTCCCATGCACAATGTCTGCCTTGGCATGATATTCTGTTTATTTTCCCCTTTCTAAAATGATTTTAAGTAGCTTCTTTGAATACATAGTTGCAACAATTAAAGATGACTTTATTTATTCATTCTTTAATCAGCCAATGTTTGTTTGACATCAGTGATTACTACTCTTCTTTCAATTGCTAAATTTCTTTATCTTGGTGAGTAAAGGCTTAACAAATTGTATGGCAAAGAACATACACTTCAAACTATCCAGATACACTGAGCACCAGGCAACAGAACAAATTTAGAGACTGAAGAGTCGAGCACGCCAGTTTATTTCCGTTCTTTGAGAGGAAATGTAGATTAAGCAGGGTTGGCTTTTCATGACATTTGCTTAGTTCTTGAATTGACTGACAAGCCTATTAATGGATTCCCTGAACTTTATTAATGTAATTGGAAAACTGCTCACATGCCAATCAACTTCTAATAAGTAATTATGTTCATAAATATGTAAAATTATTAGCTTTTAATGTGTCCCAAGCACATACTTTCAACACAGTGACCATTTTTTTCTTCTAGAGGAACAAAACACTGGTAAAATATTCAATGAGTGTGTTCCAAATATGTATTTCCTGGAGTGGTACTTAAATGTTCACTATCATCAAATGGCCAGCAAAAAAAAAAAAAAAAGACTGCCAGAGTAAGGCATGCAACAGCTTTAAAATTGTGTGTAATATGAAACAATCTATGTAACATAAGGTTATAAAGAAATCTTATGGAAATCAAACGAGTTTCTAGCAGGGTTTATATATCCATAGTCTGGTTTAAAAATCTCCACCTATAATAACATGGAACAAGAAAGAAAGAAAAAAAAAATGAAAGAGGGATATATCCACTATCTAAAATACATCAGTTAAGTCTACAATAAGCAAAAAGTCTGTATCTCAAGTCACTCAAATATATTATTGTCCAAGTTTACTTTTTCTTATGTAATAGGAATCTTTTGTAGCTAGAAACTCAAGCCCAAGGGCACTGAACTACACAAGAGAATCAGATTTGGCCTAGATATAGAATAAATGTGTTTCTGACTTATAACCTCATGTCAGTTTTTGAACTCCTGCCCTGTGGAATCTCTGGATAATCTCTGAATAAAGGTGGACTTTGGTGAAAAATACTATTTTCCCCTATGCTTTTAAATAAGGGGCTTCTCACAGTGAGCATGATCATAATAAGAAAAGGCATTGAGAAAATTCACTGATTTAATTTTCCATTATATTTTCTTCCTTAAAGTTAACAGCTTAATTAATAAGTTTAATTTTATCACAAAGTTAAAATATTTACTAATAACTGAAGCTTTTTGAATTCAGGTTTATTTTTATATAAGGAAATAGATTAACAATATTTTCCCAATGTAAGCCATTTAAATACATTAACATTTAGTGTTAATTATTGGAGGGGTTAACTCTGAGGTAGTACAAATACCTTGCTTACTAAGCATTCCTGTTAGGAATAATACATGTATTTATTGGTACCACATTCTCAAACAATTGTTACTAATTTCACTTAGAAATGCTGCAATGTCATATTGAGTTCCACAACATAATATTTCTATGCAACCAAACCATGATTAATCTAAAATGCACGAGGAAATAATGTAAAGGGCAAAAATATACATTTTCCATTCTGTTTGCATTATAATTTCTTTTTTGAGAAGCATTTGTGTTTAGAATAAATGTGCCCTTACATTGCAGTGTGCAAGAAAAATAACATAATTTGATGATTCTGTTTATATTTAGAGATTGCAAGTTAGCTAGCATGATTTATGATCTACTGAAAGTACATCAAAGTAGAAAGCATTGTGTACAATATTTTTTCAATTACTCTACATTTAAATTAAGTATTTCTAGAAGGCTGCTTCTTTTCATTGAACGTTAATCAAAGTAACAGAAGCTGGATTGAGACAGAGGGTTGAAAACCTGGGGAATTGCTTTTAAAGAGTTCTCCTTCATATTTTAAAAAGTTCTAATATTTAATGTATCCCTCATAGGTTATCAGATATTTATTTTAATGTATTAATGATGGTTTTTCAAAGATTTATTGAAAGGGTAACTCAAAGAAAGATAGGAAGTGAATCATACACAAAAAATCACAATGTGATGTGAATTTATTTTTATCTTGGTATGTTGGGATTCATATGACTATAATACCCATTACACTTCATGGAATCTAGGAACATAAATCTGGAAGACAATGACCATATGTCTTTCAACATTGTTAGTTACTTCTGAGTCATTTTGTTATCTAAAGATTGAACATTTCTGCCCTAGCTAGTTTTGCTCAGTGGATAGAGCATCGGCCTGCAAACAGAAAGGTCCCAGGTTCGATTCTGGTCAAGGGCACATGCCTGGGTTGTGGGCTCGATCCCCAGTGGGGACTTGCAGGAGGCAGCCTATTCATGATTCTCTCTAATTATGAATGTTTCTCTCTCTCTCTCTCCCACTTCCTTCCTCTCTGAAATCAATAAAAATATATTAAAAAAATAAAGATTGAACATTTCTAAGCAGGGTCCCTCCCAGTATAGCAGTTATGGAAACACATACCTTGCACAGTTAGATGCACCTGCATTGTTCTCGGCGTATGTTGAGTCTGAACAGAACACGTGTATGGGCCATCATCTGTCACATCCACGTTTTGTATCTGGAGGCTGTAGTCTCTTTTATTCAATGTTGAAATGGAAACTCGAGGATCCACGGACCACTTATCACCTCCCGCAAAAATAATACTTGACCGGTTCAGCCAGGCACCCTTTGAAGCTCCATCTTCCAAATAACACCTACAAATTACCAGAGACAGAACACTATTAATCAAGTGAAAATGAGAGACATTATCTTTGTTCTGACTGTATTTTCATATGCTGAATTACAGCACTTCATCAAATCCTAACATCAGACATAAACACAGGAAACATGAACACACTGATGGGTCTTCATTCCCAATACAAATGTGAAACAATATCTGCATACAGCTTTGTTTTGTGTTGAGCTTGTGTGTGTGTGTGTGTGTGTGTGTGTGTTTTCATTGAAAGTCAGTCAAAATCAGTTTTCATTCTTTTTGTATTACAAGAAATTTAATAAAGCTAAATTAGTTCATATAACAATGTTTGACATTAAAACAATGTTTGACATTCTGTTCTTTGAAATGATAAGAAGAAGGAAAGATGTATGAGTCAGCCTCTTTTAACCCAATCCAATTCTGAATATAATGTACCAGGTGCAGAATGCAAAGCGTAGAATAGTACCATATACATGTTTATTTTTAAAATCCCCTGCATTTTCCCAGTGGTAAGTTTTCACACTAAAACTATAAACTGCATTTCACTTGATAGTATTGCTGTTGTAATTAAATGTAGCAATTTTAGTAGCACATTCATTTATTCAATAAATATTTATGAAGCATCTACTGCTTACGGATTAAAAAAAAAACATAGTGTCCTTGCTCTTCTAAATGTTTAGTCTAGTAAGGACGACAACTAAGCAATTTAGTTAATACTGTACATTTAATAAAAATAATGTTATTATTTCAAGCTAAGGTCCATGAGAGACAAAAGCGGGTTACTTGACTCACTAAGAGTATTGGGGTATAGAAAATGGCTTTCAGGGAGAGGATGGGATGGGATGGGATGAGATGGGATGGGATAGGATAGGATAGGATAGGATAGGATAGGATAGGATAGGATAGGATGGGATGGGATGGGATAGGATGGGATGGGATAGAATAGGAAATGCCCAAGCTAAAGCAGTGAGAAGTGGAAGATGTAGCCTTTTAGACAGAAGTGCTATACATGGGCAACACAGGGAAAGGTGAGAGAAATAAGACATTCCCAGGATGTGCAAATAAGCATGGCTATAAGGGAAGGGTGAGAGATGCAACTGGAATGGTAAACTGGAACCAGATGATGATGATGATAGTAAGCATGATGACAGTAGATTTGGAGGCCAAATTCAAAGCCATTTATTCAAAGTTGTATTCTGTAACAAGATTCAACTATACAACTTTGAATCTAATAGAAGTCAGGCACATCAAGACTTAGAACAGAAGGCTCTGGTCATATATCAGTGATTTTGCTGAGGCCTGGAATTCTGTTTTGTCTTGAAAACATTCTGATACAAATTAAAGACTGGTTCTCTTAAACGAGTACAAAGCACAGCTACAGAATGAAAATACACATACATGGAAATAGTTTGACAGCATTTCCACAGAACACCTTGGGGGATTGAACACGGTGTTTGAGATTGCTACAAAATTGCAAGCTGAATGCAGCAGGGGTAGGTTGCTGCCAACTGCATGAAACTAATCAGTGGGTGAAAAAAAAATTAGGAACAGGGTACATTGCAGAATCTCATTTGCAGTCAGCTTCACCATCTATGAATCCAAACTAGTGGAAGTCATAAAGGTCACTGTTCATTGGAAAGCTTTTCTTTATGTATGTAATGAAGAAAATAAAACACACTTTAATGGTATAATTAAACAATTATAGTGTATTTCCATTCTTTTAAATATGCAGAAAGAAGATAGAGAATACATATTTCCCATTTCCCAAGATCATATTTGTACTTTTGGTTACAAAACTAAAACACCACTACTAGGCTTGTGATAATCCCAATGTTTGTATTTACTACCTGGATTTGTGAAGTTTATTGTGTGACCTCTCCATTCATGGCCTTCACACATTATCTGATGCTCATAACAACCCTGCACTGTATGGATTGCTATGTCTAATTCATCACCAGAAAAATAACTGGAATGCTTGGGTTATATGACTTGCCCTGGCCACACCAGTAGTGAGTGGCAAAGTTGAATATATAATTGAGTCTAATAGTTCTATATCCAATGTCCTTTACACCATAATGCATGCAGATCAAAGACTTTTAAAATAGGTTTCAGAAATGGGAAGATGATTAGGATGTTGCAGATATTACTGCAAGTAATTTCTTATTTACTGAATATGACCAACTACTTAACCTGTCCTATTCTAAAGGAAGCAGAACATTAATTATTAATGGATATTTGACCATGAAAGTCTGATTTTGAACACCCTGCTCTGCATTTCCCTCTCCCTAGAGACAGAAGCAGCTTTTCCTTTATGTGGTGGGTATTAGAGAACCATGGAGATTAACCAGCCTTTAGACATGAGCTCTTTCATAGACCTGGTCTGGGTTGTAACTTCTAGTCTTAGCATAAGCACTGTTCCTCTGTTCTGGCATGCCAGGGACCATCAGGAAGAATAGAAGTTATATTCTGCTGTGAAGATGAAAAAATGAGCCCTTTATGTCCTCTGGGCTTAGGTAAATTATATTTCATAATTGTTATTGGTCCCAACTCAAAGCTTGTAAAGACATACATTAGAAAAACCCTCAAACCAGACTCATAAAAAAGAAAGAAAAGAAAACAACAACAAAAAAACCCACATTTTTTGTATTATTTCCTCAGATTGCTGTATAATTATTATCAAATTATACTACTGAGTTAGAATTTAACCCAAATGACCATTTATGGATTTTATAAATTGGAAACAGCAAGACTTTCTATTTTATAAAAATTATAAGATATATCAAATTTATATATTTTAATGTCAACTATAAGGTGATTATATAAAATTAGTGGCCTGGTGCACAAAAATTCATGCACAGGGGGTAGGGGGTTGTCCCTCAGAGTGGCCTGCTCCTTTCCAATCTGGGACCCTTTGGAGGATGTCCGACTGCTGGTTTAGGCACGATCTTTCAGGGATTGGGCCTAAACAGGCAGTCAGAAATGCCTCTTGCAATCTGGGACCTCTGGCTCCTAACAGCTCACCTGCCTGCCTGCTTGATCAATCCTAATCACTCTGCCTGCTGGCCTGATCACCCCCAACTTTCCTCCCCTCCTGGCCTGATCACCTTTAGCCACCTCTGCCTCAGCCCCGCCACCATTGCTTTGTCTGCACAGATGTCTAGAAGATCTCTGGGAAGGTCTCCTGGTCTAATTGGCATGTTGCACTTTTATTAGGATAGATGATTAGTAAATATATTAAATAGGCCAAACAAATAAATCTGATTCCTTGAGAATAGCAATCTATATCTTCTACCTCCACATTCACCCTATTTTTCCCCATTTACAATACAAAGGATTCTGTCAAACATGTGTGCTGCATTAAGAAAGAATTCTGGAGTGAAGGAAGGAAGGTATCATGAACAGAGCCAGTCAGCTTGAATACTTAACTGTGGTGATAGACGATGCTGTGTACTTTTAGAGTTGGACATTGTCAAGGGTTAGAAGTTCTACCTTTTAGGATTAAGTAATTCCTGTGTGAGGAAGAGGTTAGTGAAGCAAAGACAGGCATGTAGTTAATGAGAGCATGATGAAGCCATAATTCTGGGGTAACAAACTCAGATCTTTTTATCCTCTCCAAGATTTCTAAATGGAAAATTTTAAGAACCAGTGAGCTAAGGATCCCTGCAAAGTTTAGACAATAAAATAATCATAAAATGTTTAATAATTAATACATCCTTTAACTGAGTATGGCATGGATTTTCTTGAAAGTGTTTTCTTTATTTCTTCTTCTTCTTTTTTTTAATCTTCTCCATTATCCCTATAGGCAGATGAGTAAAGCCGTTCAAAAATACAATCCTCAGCATAAGCTGCATTAGCACCATGACAAATATTTCGATTTTCAGTCAATCATCTGGATGTTTTATATACATAGTTTCAAACATATGGTTATTGGAAATGTGATAGCTATAATATGTGGGGAAGATGGGTGAAGGGATGAGAAAAAAAGAGAAAGAACCCATGGACCAGGACAACAGTGTGGTGATTATGGGGAAAGGGGTGAGAGAGGGTATAAGGAGAATAAATGGTGATGAAAAAATAAAATTTAATTTAGTTTCATAATTTTTTAAAAAAGAAAGAAAAATGGCTGGGATATTTATTTATTTATTGATTGATTGATTTTATTGATTTTTCACAGACAGGAAGAGGAATAGAGAGCTAGAAACATCGACGAGAGAGAAACATCGACCAGCTGCCTCCTCCACGCCCCCCCACTGGGGATGTGCCCGCAAACAATGTACATTCCCTGGACCGGAATTGAACCTGGGACCTTTCAGTCAGCAGGCTGATGCTATATCCACTGAAACAAACCGGTTTTGGCTTGGATATTTATTTTGTTTCACGATTGTTAATTATATCAACTTAACTTTGGGTTGATAAAATTAACACAAAGCTAATGCTCTTCTAATCGGAATTGCATTTAACTTCCAAACTCTCTTAAGGAGCTCCTTTATAAATGACATTACCACATATTAGCAAGTCCCTATTTTGGGAGCAATAAGTCCTATTTGGAATGCTGCTAGTTGATCGAACTGATGTTGGAATATTCTAATTGACTCTGTTATATTATCTCCTGTGGTAATTAAATATAAAGCTGGACCTCAGAGAGTTTAGTAGAAATTAGCATATTTAGGTTATTTATTATTTTTTAAAGCTCTATTAGGGAAAAAGCCTATGGCTGCTGAGGAATGATTTGTTTCACTTTCATATCTCTAATGCCCTATAACACTCTCCAAAAACATAATCCTTAGCACCATTACCAGTACTCTATACACCAGGATTTATTCAAGTTTATGAAAAGAAAGCAGCTTTTCTCTAGACACAGTGATTAATGAAAGTTCCCATCAAAGGTACTAACTAATAAAAGAGGAAAATTTGTTTTATTAATTTCCCTTGGATTCAAAACTATGCCATGTGAAAACAATATTGCTATGAAGGAAGATAGTTACCTTCATGGCTATCTTT